CATAATCAAGATTGAGCCTCCTCCACCCTGAGGGTTTGCACAACCACGTGCCTTCATTGCATCATTCAATTCCCATGACCCACAAAGTTGTTTCTGCTATTCTCACATCCACTGAAGCCAGGGGCCAGGGCACAGAGATGACATCACACAAGGAAGTACCTTCCAAGACCAGACAAACCTCTGGGTCAGTCCAGCCCTGAATTCTTTCTTTCTTTCTTTCTCTTTCTTTCTTGTTGGTCATGGAGCTGGAATTCTGGGCCTGGATGCTGACCCTCAGTTGTTGAGCTCAAGGCAAGTGCTCTACCACTTGAGCCACAGTGCCACTTCCAGTTTTCTGGTGGTTTATTGGAGATAAAAGTCTCACAGGAGCTGGGAAGGTGGCTCAGTGGTAGAGTGCTTGCCTTGTATGCATGAGGCCCTGGGTTCAATTCCTCAGCACCACATAAGCAGAAAAAGCTGGAAGTGGCATTGTGGCTCAAGTGGTAGAGCACTACTAGCCTTGAGCTGAAGAGCTGTGGGACAGTGCCCAGGCCCAAAGTTCAGGCCCTATGACCGACAAAAAAAAGAAGTCTCATGGACTTTCCTGCCCAGGCTGGCTTTGAACCACGATCCTCAGATCTCAGCCTCCTGAGTAGCTAGGATTACAGGATAAACCACTGGTGCCTGGCTTTTTTTTTTTCCTTTTTCTTTTTTCCTCTGTGCTATCCCTAGGGCTTGAACTCAGGGCCAGGGCACTATACCTGACCTTCTTTTGCTCAAGGCTAGCATTCTACCATTTGAGCCATAGGTCCACTTTTGGCTTTTTGAGTAGTTTATTGGAGATAAGAGTCTTGCAGACCTTCCTGCCTGGACTAGCTTTGAACCACAATCCTCATATCTCAGCCTCTCAAATAGCTAGGATTACAGGCATGAGCTACTGGCACCAAGCTCCTATTTTAAGATCAGTCTTAGAATGATCCTCAGCAAGCAGGCCAATGGGTAGGCATTTACAGCTTCATTGGGCCATGCTCCTTTAGTGGGCAGACTAGCAGAACACAGGAGAGCAGAGTAGGGTCACCACCCACTCAGGCTTGGGGATTGAGGAAATCCCAACAGCACTATTATTACTTTGTGTGTGAGTGCTGCTTCTGGGACTTGAACTAAGGGTCTGGGCGCTGTCTGAGTTTTTGTGTTCAAGGCTCTACCACATGAGCCACAGCTCTTAGTTAGAGCCTTTTTAGTTTATTAAATTTAAGAGTCTCATGAACTTTCCTGATCTGGTTGGCTTCAAACTGTGTTCCTCAGATTTCAGCCTCCTGAGCAGCTAAGATTACAGGCATGAGTCACTGGGGCCCAGCTGTTGGCAATTTTACTCTTTGGATGAGATACTGGGGGCTTGAACTCAAGGCCTTATGCTCTTTTTTTTTTTTAGCCATAAATAAAACTTTATTCTTTCATTTCATTTACAAGCTATCAAATAATTATGTATCATACAGTGTCACTTAAATGGCTTAGTCATGGAAATATCCAGACTGCAATGAAAGCTGTTGATAAAGAAAAGATGAAAGCGAAGTAATACTGTAATAGAAGGATGGCAAAAGAAGTTTTGCCATAATGAAAGCAATTGGGTTGCCGTTTTTCATCAGTTCTGGTTAAAACGAGTCTGAGTGCCATGCAATTCTCAGCTTTATTGTGTGTAGTCTGGCTAAAGTCTATATAGACATTTTGTCTTTTGCAGTTATTAAAATAAAAAAGTTAAAAACTATAGCAGCAACAAGCAAACCCTGTGACAGCAAGGCAAGGGTTAAGAACTAAAAAAAAGTTCATACAGTGCGTTTAAGGAAAGAGTGCGCTGTTTATCTTCCATCAGAAGGCGTTCGACTGAGGGACAACATGATTCGGGCAAATCGCTCACAGAGTTCATGTGTAGAATATGAAGGTAACTTCGGGGGTTCATGGAAACCTTTAATCTCTGAAGAGCAGTCAAGCAGTTTTGGAAGAAAATCTGTCAGCTTTTCTTGGAGATTTGATTCCATTTCTTGTCCTAAGTAGGAACACCATCGATTCCTCCTATCTTCCACAGCAAGTATATCTTTCTCCTCCATCTCATCCACCAATAACAGAGGCAAAAATGGAACAATAAATTCATTCATGATAATCAAGCCATTGTTTACTTCTCGATCCTCTCCAGATTCAAATAGTTCTGCAGCTTGCTCATTTAATTTTAGTAAACATTCTCTTCTATAATGTGATATCAACTCTTCATCATGTCCTCTGTATGGGCCCTTGGACAAGAGCTCTTTGTTATTCTGGTAAGCACAAATAAGGAACAGCAAGGAATCTATATAACTTTCTCTTTGAAAATTTTCTAATCCGATTATGAGATACATAGTGGTTTCCCTGAATTTCTTATAATCTTGATGCCACTCCTCATATTCCTCCATGTTTACTTCTTCTGGTTTTATCATTTCAAGTTTAGCTTGAGCAACTTTCATGATATTATGACACCTTTCATCGAAACTCAAATTTCTGTCTCCAAATTGTTCTAGTAGGGTTTTCTCAATGATTTTCTTTGGAGCCTGGTTCTGGATGAAGTAGACTACTAACTGATGTAAACGATAATCTGTGTCTGGTGGGGTGTCTTCCTGAAGGCCTTATGCTCTTGCTGGTTTTTTCATTCAAGGCTGGAATTCTACCTTTTGAACTATACCTCCACTTGCAGCTCATTAATTGGAGATGGGCTTGTTAGCCCAATGAGCTCCTTCCCATAGCTTAGCATGCTCCTTCCCCTTTCCATAGCTTAGCATGCCCTTTTCCTAGGCCCATGTAGTAAAGGCAGTAAATAATCAGCCTCCAACTCCCCTTTACCTTGGCATGGCACTCCTCTGGGGCAGCTACCACCATATAAGGCAACAAAAGCCCCTTAGAGTGACCTTCAGGTCTGGGCAGCTGCAGGGCCCCTTACCTACTACTTGTGCAGCAGCCATAAATCCTAATCCACCATGATGAAAAACCTGGTCCACACCAGGATCTCCACCTCCTAGCCCCTTCTAGCCCCAGTAGGTTGTACAGGTCACCTCAGACAATAGCCAGAACTTCTCACTTCTCCCTTCTGAGTGGTCTTGTCTGATCCCTTTACTGGCAATAAACCTTTTCTTTGTTCTTTGTACCTGGATGTCTATAGTGTTTTCTGGTAGTCTAAAATACTCCTAACAGGGCTGGCTAGTTTAGAATCTTGATCCTCAGATCTCAATCTCTTGATTATCTACGATTAAAGGCATGAGCCATCAGTGCCTGGCTCACCTAGATGTTTTTTTTTTGGGGGGGGGTCCGATCGTGGGGCCTGAACTCTAGGCCTGGGCACTGTCCCTCAGCTCTTCAGCTCAAGGCTAGGGCTCTACCACTTAAGCCACAGCACCACTTCTAGCTTTTTTCTTTTTGCATATGTGGTGTTGAGGAATCGAACTCAGGGCCTCAGGCATGCAAGGCAAGTGCTCTACCACTGAGCCACCTTCCCAGCCCCACACCTAGATGAGTTTTGAGGTGTCTCCTACACAGGTCCCAAATGCTGTAGCTGCCCTCAGTAGCAATGCCCAGTGCTGGTAGAGCTGCCCTTTGCAACTCCCCAACTGGACTTCAATTTAGGTCTTTTTTTAACCTCACTTAAGGACAAACTGAATCAGCTGCAGGGGGAGGATTCCAACCTGCACATACTCACAGGCTCACCACATACACAAGCACCTCCTGAACTTAGACCAGAACCTAGCTGAATGCTGTCACACCACCTCCAGTCCTGGGAAGGACATGAGCAACTGCTTGTCTCCTGGTATGAAGGAAATGCTGCAATAGCTGTAGACTAGAAAACGCACTGAAACTAGTCAAGTCAGCTCCTAAGCTAGGGAAGATGTCATGATTCCTGAATCTGGTTTTAGTTTTTCAGTCTGTAAGACAAGGGACTGGCTGGAAACTGGGTTTTTCCATACACAGCCATTCATTGCACCTTCACTGGCTATATTTTTCAGGCCTTAGACTTAGCTGCTACACTTTGACAATGTTACCAAGCTGGTTGAGTGGCCTTGAGGTACAACCTGTGGATGGACTGATGATACTTTCTACTGAATAGGGCATAACAGGGACATCAGAGCATCCTTTCCAGGGATAGTATTGGGAGCTGAATTAGCACTTGCTAGGCCAGCATTCCCAGCCTTTTTTGCCTTTGCTGTCAATCAACAGTTCTTGGTCTCAAGTTTTTCCTTGAGATAGTCTCTACTGGCCACAAACTTCCAATCCTGCCTTAGCCTCCCAAATGCTAGGATCATAGGCACATGACATTTGTGTCCGTGTATTTTGCTTCCTATCAGCATCTGAAATTGGCAAGTCACTTCATCTCCTTGTAGAGATGTAAGGTCTCACATTTGTGCCTGAGCAGACCTGTACTATGACTATTTACTTCTCCCATTCACTTTCTGCATAGTTGGGATGATGGGTGTGCCACCACACCCAACTTGTTAACACTTTATTCAGGATGACTTTAAACACAATCCACTTGGTTCTGGGACTGAGCCACCACACAGTGGAGATTATCTGAAGGGACAGAATGTTTCATGAGCCAAAGGCAGAGAATCCCAGGATTTAGTTCCTTTGCATCCCCTATCACTTCTACTGCAGAATTTAAATGATGGTCTCGGCTCTGTGGTGACCACCACCCAGCATTCCAAGGGACAAAGCATCTTTACCACGATACCTGGTACAGGGAAGAAGAAACAAGAGGCTGGGGCCAGTGGTATTTAAAGCTACATTTATTAAGTATCTTTTGTTTTTCACTCAGGAGATGCTGGAGGACCTGAGATACACTAGCCTGGACCAAGAACATGAAACTGTTGATTCCTTCTAGAAGGCAAACAGGCAGGGATTGAAATCTATCTGGATAATTAAGCTGCAAATTTTGTTCCCACTTTCACTAGGTGTTCATAGCCAGGGTTCATGTCTCCATATCCATGTCCTCATCTGTAAAAAAAGAGATGACAAATACCAAGGCATGCTGTGAAGTGATGTCACACACAATCAGGAGCCATTACTACTGCCAACTGTTCAGAAAACGGAATCTAAGTTTCTAGCTCCAGACCACACTCCCACAGTAGTGACACCTCTGTGGCCCACTGACCTCACGCAGGTAATATCCAAACCACAAAGGCCACCCCAAATTTAGATAGCTAGGTCCCAAGAGTCTTCAACCCCCAAATAGACATGTGAGCTTAAAGACAAACTTTTTGGGTCTCAATTTCCTGCCTTTAACATGGAAGGCAAGAATAAGTTGTTTTGTTTGTTTTAAACCTTTGCTTGACCAGGTGACTAACAGGAAGTTACCATACAAAAGAGAAGCAAAGTCACTCACTAGAATGCCTTCCTTCATACTTACCCCTATACAGACCAGACTCCATAGAGTGGCCCACCAGACACTACACAGTTGCGATGATTTGTGGGCTGCTCCACCCACCTCAGGGCTCTTCTAGCTCTTGCAACCTGGGATTGCTGCTGAAACACTGAGGAAGGGATGACGGCTTTGTGTGTGCTGGTGCAATGACATACAGTAGAGGCCCCGGGAGAAGGGGGCTGTGAGGTGTGAGATGTTACTCCTTGCAGCTAACAAGGCAGCCTGCCAGTTTCATGGAGACCAGCCCAAGCTGTTAGGGAGACTGTCTTAAAAAAAAAACAAAACAAAAAACACCTCAATTAGAGACAAAGAGCAGTTAATAAGTCATTAAAAAAAAAAGCAGATAAGTTAAAAGTCCACCCAGAGGAAAAGGGCAGCCAATTCCAACTCACCAGATGGCAGTAACTCTCCACTTCTGATTTCCTGATGACAGGGCGAGGGTGTTTATCGACAATTCCTGGACTGCAGAGTCAGAGAGTTAGAACTAAGCAGACAACTTCATGTCACCTATCCCTCTCTACTCAATAGCCTTCACACCAAATCAGCACATGCATGAGAGCTTCCCCATCTTCTGGATTCTACCCATCCTCCCAGATGCTACCTGTAAGACTTAGGATGTAGTCCAGAGAGGGGTGGTCTCAAATCTCAACCTGCTAGTTTCTAGCTGGGTAACCAGTGGCTCATCTGCACTGAATCTAAAACTGTCTAATGGTGATGCCTCAAAAATTTAACCTTAATCTAACTGGGCCCAATGTTAACCTAGCTTCTCAGGAAGTTGAGATCTGAGTTTAAAGCCAGCTCGAGCAGGAAAGTCCATGAGACTCCCCCCTCCTCCAGGCCTGGACATTGTCCCTGAGCTTCTTTTGATCAAGGCTAGCACTCTACCACTTGAGCCATAGTGCCACTTCCAGCTTTTTCTGTGTATGTGGCACTGTGGAATTGAACCCAGGGCTTCATGCATGCTACCACTAAGCCACCTTCCTAGACCCCCCTGAGACTCCAAATAACTACCAAAACACTGGAAGTGGAGTTGTGGCTGAAATGCTAGGAACCTTAAAGCACAAAAGCTCAGGATCAGTGGCCAGGCCCTGAATTCAAGCCCCAGGACTGGCACAAAAGACAAAGTGAATTTCAGATGTGCAAAGTGGTGCCATTTAAAGATCAACATGATGACTGCATACCAGATCCAAAAGGGAGCAAGCAATTGTCTGAAATTTCTATAACCTTGCTCTGGATGGAACAGGGCAAGGCCTCAAACCGTTTCAAAACTGTTCTGGCAAGCACTGTAGGAATGCAGGAGTCACAGCAGACTCAAGCACGCTGGAGGCTTGCAACTGACATTCACTGTTTGAAGCCAGCCTAGGCAGTAGAATCCATAAAACTCTCTCCAATTAACACCCAAAAACCAGAAATAGAGCTGTGTTCTTTGTGGAAAAAGTTATCCAGGCCCTATGTTCAAGCTCCAGTACTGGCACACAGGCAAACACAAGAACACATACATACACACTAATGGTTTTGGAGCTTGGTTCCTAGGGCCCTTGACTACACCTCAGGAAAATTGTAGTGTTCTTAAACTCATGATCACAGAAACAACACCACGTAATTACATAAACTTCCTTTTTTATATCCACAAGTACTTTGCAGCTTGGAAAACACTTCTGAGCTAGGATATAGACCAAGACACCCCAATAGTCATGGACCTGGCTCTAGAAAGGTGTACCTAAACCTTCACAACGTGACTTTACCAGTCCATGTTCTGGATAATCTGCTGTGCGTCAGCCGTCCCTGTTTCGTGAAATCGTCGATATGTTCAGAGCACCGGCCTATTGGACAAATGTAATTAGCTGCATTGATGGCTCCAAGTTACCATCCAGTTGCAGCCCCTCAACCTCCCACCCACTCCCCGCTCCAGTACGTCTTTTTTGTTTGGGTCCCGTCGTGGGCCTGAACGCTATCCCTCAGCTCTTCAGCTCAAGGCTAGTGCTCTACCACTTGAGCCACAGCGCCACTTCCGGCTTTTTTCTTTTTGCTTATGTGGTGCTGAGGAATCGAACTCAGGGCCTCAGGCATGCAAGACAAGCGCTCTACCAGAGCCACCATCCCAGCCTTCCAGTCTGTCTTTTTTTTTTTTTTTTGCCAGTCCTGGGCTTGAACTCTAGGTCTGAAGGCTGTCCCTCAGCTCTTCAGCTCAAGGCTAGCACTCTACCACTTGAGCCACAGAGCCACTTCTGGCTTTTTCTGCTTATGTGGTGCTGAGGAATCAAACCCAGGGCCTCATGCATGCAAGGCAAGCACTCTACCACTGAGCTACCTTCCCAGCCCTCCAGTCTGTCTTAAGGCAGGTTTCCCACGAGGTCGCAGGTCACGCTGCACGTTTCTAGCGCTCTGCTTCCGAGGCTCCCACGCAACCTGGCCTACGCCTCTTCCGAACGACCCGAGAGGCAGCGCGCGCCAGCCCGTGCACAGAACTGCTAGGCCGGCAAAGGAGAAGCCCGGGCGCCCGGGTCCCGCGCTGCCACCCAGCAATCTGACCTTCCGCGCCACGCACTACCGACCCCCAGCCCTCACGGCCCCACCCGAGCTCAAAAACAAGTACCGGCATCGACTGGAGTCCCCGATGGAGGCGGATGACTGCCATGCGCGACAACGAGCCCACCCCAACCTCCACCGCGAGGCCCGCCGTAGCTAGAAGCTTAGCACGCGCAGCGCGTCCTGACGTCAACACGCAGCCCCGCCCACGTCGCGCGCGTACAGCGGCCGCACCTTTCCCCGCCCCCCCGCGATGACATCACCGGACGCTGAGGCGTGCGGGCTGCGGGGGCTGCGCGGCGATCCCGCCCTTCGCCTGTGCCTCCTCTGGAGCTCTTTCTGTGCCTTCCTTCCGGAGCCCGAGGATGGAGTTAAGTCCTCTGCCTGGGTGCTGAGGGCACACGCAGGGGTCTGCGGGGTAGGGGACATGGGGGCCCGGGCACCCGGGCTGGCCTAAGAGGCCCCATGACCGACAAAAAAAAGTCTCACAGATTTTCCTGTCCTGGCTGGCTTTGGATCACTGTCTTCATATTTCAGCCTCTTGAGCAGCTAGGATTAACAGGCATTAGGCATTGACTCTTCCCCCACCCCAACCCCTCCCCCATGTCGGTCATGGGCCTGAACTCTGGGCCTGGGCGCTGTCCCTCCGCTCTTCAGCTCAAGGCTAGCGCTCTACCACTTGAGCCACAGTGCCACTTCCGGCCTTTTCTATTTATGTGGTGCTGAGGAATCGAACTCAGGGCCTCATGCATGCAAGGCAAGCGCTCTACCACTGAGCCACCTTCCCAGCCCCACACAGAGAATTCTTCATGTAGTGAATTTTGTAAGGTCCATTCCTGGACGGCGAACAGACCTCGCCCAGTACCTGCGTTACCTAGGCAACTGGGACACCTGGAAGAGGTCACATCCGCATCCGCTGAGGTCACATCTTAACCTGATGTGGCCACACCTTTCTCCCACCTGACCCCACTTCCCTTTACCTGGACACACCCTTCCGCACCCCCTTACCCTATATAAGGAATAAACCGCGGCCAGACCGCCTTTTTTTCTTTTCCTTTGCCAGCCGCGTGGAGTGCCAACCTCCACAGTCACAGTCCCTAAAATAATTACGGAAGCAAGAGAAGGAAAAGGAAGCATTTATTAAGAAGCTGTTTAATGGAACAGTGGGCAGGCAAGCACAATGGGATGTTGCTGAGCCAATATGAAGTTTGGGGCAGGTTTTTAGGGAGTTACTCTAGATTTTATTGATTAGCTCTTTCTCATGGGTTTTGTTGATTGGTTGTTCCTTCCTTAGATGATAGTTTGAATTTCTGTATGCGCAGCCCCTAAGTCCTCATGCCAGCTTTTTTCAGTGCTAGGCCCTACCTGGCTTTTAGGACTACTAGTATTTTGTTCCTTAATCCTATCTAATGTGATGAATTGTATACAATGAGTTCTTTTTTTTGTCTTGTGATCCCCTAAAGTGGGTTGCAATACTCAATCTATTATAACTAAAAATCATTTTATCAGCTGAGTGCTAGTAGCTCATGCCTGTAATCCTTACTACACAGGAGGCTAAGATCTGAGGATCAGTTCGAAGCCAACCTGGGCAGGAAAATCTTGTGAGACTTTTTTTTTTTGTCGGTCGTGGGGCTTGAACTCTGGGCCTGGGCGCTGTCCCTCAGCTCTTCAGCTCAAGGCGAGCGCTCTACCACTTGAACTACAGCGCCACTTCCGGTTTTCTGGTGGTTTATTGGAGATAGGAGTCTCACAGTCTCTCCTGCCCGGGCTGGCTTTGAACAGCGATCCTCAGATCTCAGCTTCCTGAGTAGCTAGGATTACAGGCGTGAGCCACGAGCGCCCGGCTGAGACTCTTTTTTTTTTTTATACTCCACCTTCTTAAATGGGCTATCATTTGTGGGGTTTTTTTTTGTTTTTTTTTTTGTTTTGTGGGGCTGAACTCTGGGCCTGGGCACTGTCCCTCAGCTCTTCAGCTCAAGGCTAGGGCTCTACCACTTGAGCCAGAGCGCCACTTCCTGCTTTTTTTTTTCTTTTTGCTTATGTGGTGCTGAGGAATCGAACCCAGGGCCTCATGTATGCAAGGCAAGCGCTACCTTCCCAGCCCTCTTGTGAGACTCTTATTTCTGATTAACCACCAAAAAGCCAGAACAGTTGTGTCTAACTTGGTAGAGCCTTGAGTGAAAGAGCTCAGGGACAGTGCTGTTTCTCTCCCTCCCTCCCTTCCTCCCTTTTTCTCTCTCTCTCTCTCTCTCTCTTACACATACACACATACACACACACCACAAAATCATTTTATCTTTTACTTAGATGGATAGGACTTTTGGATGAGATTTTTGGTTTGTTACTATATTTTATCATCTAGGGGACAGGAAAATACAACAGAAGGCTGCGAGATTGGGAAGAATTTGGTTTGTTGGAGATATGGCAAAGACTTACAAGGTTTTAGTGTTCTGAATGGGGTCAGATACAAAGATTAAGAGGTGGTTAATACCTACTCAACGGTCTTGGATATCAAACTGTAAAGGTGGCAGATTGATTCTTGATTCTACTAGGAAAGCAGATCAGTGCAATTCATGTTTTCTGTATTGCACCTAGTAAATATATTCCATTACTTTATAGTATATAAATCCCTGAAAGGGGGGAAAGACAGAATGAGAAAGAATGAATCACAGGAAAGTAAACAGCCTCAGGGGCATGGGCAGTGATGCACTTTATATGCATGTATAAAATAAAACATGAATCGTGTGTGGGTTTTTTTTGTTTTGTTTTTTGTTTGGTTTGTTTTTGGTGCTGGTCCTAGGGCTTGACTTCAGGGTCTACCTGGGTGCTACCTCTGAGCTTTTTTTTTTTTTTTCTCAAAGTTAGCACCCTACTGTTGTAAGGTGAGACAACAGAGAAGTCACATTTTGAGAGGTTGAGTCGGGAGTCTTTATTAAAAGGCTGGCAATTGCATGGTGGACTCTTGTCTCAAAGACCAGCAGCCAGCAAATACACTTAACACAGCTACAAAACTGACCCATGAAGGCCGAAGAGGAAAGAAAGTGTAAGAGGATCGGATACATCCATCTCAGGACCCCACGCAGAGGCAGGCAGGCACAGAAGAAAGATTATTATAAGGTTTATTAGAGGAGCCATATTTCCCCTAAGAGAGAGCACATGGCCTCAGTCACCATCCAGGTATTTGGAGGGTCTGGGGGGGATGGGAAGTAAGGTAGGTGGGAGTCCAGGTGGGTCTGGGCAGAGAGAGAGGGAGGGGCCAGCTGTACGGAGGGAACTCCAGGAATAGGAGGGCCCAGGTGTGGGTGGAGCTGGGGAACCAAAGGTGAGCATAATACTAACATTAAAACAAAAACAATACCAACAAACAATTCAACTCCAATGAGGAGTTGAATTGGGACACCACGATGTCCAGAGTAGAGCTTGAAGACAGGATAGGAACAGTGAGACATGGGGCTTGACTCTTCTCTGGTCACCACTGCGTCCTAATTCAACTCTCCATTGGAGCTGAATTGTTGGTATTGTTTTTGTTCTTTCTTTTCTCTTTGGCCTTCATGCCTGAGCTGGTCGGGGCCCAGGTAGGGACAAGTTAGGGGGAAGGTCACAGGAAACACCTAGTCCCAGGCACTGGACTGACAGGTTTAGTAACCTATCAGGTACACCTATCAATGGAGAGGGGGAGGGGCATTTCACCTTCCCCCACCAGGAAGCCAAGTTGTCAGACCTTACATGGACATATTTAGGTACCATCAAGACTTTTCCATCTAGGGAAGACAGGCCTCAACCTTCCTGTAGGGTCTACCTAGAGGCTGGTGATTCAAGCCATTTAGGGAGTTAATCAAGGCAGAATCAGAGCATTCTCTATATGCAAAGCTTTCCTAAGGCTAGGACCTGAAGTAGACCTCCTAGCTCACTTTTCAACACTGGGTAAAGAATTCCCTCCACCCAGCAAGAGGCATCAGGATGGCTGCCAGAAGTTACTTAGACTTAGCTTCCCTATTTCACTACCACTTGAGCCACAGGTCCACTTCCAGCTTTTTGGTGGTTAATTGAAGATAAGAGTCTCAGAGTTGAAGCTGGGAAGGTGGCTCAGTGGTAGAGCGCCTCAGACTTGGAGCTGGGAAGGTGGCTCAGTGGTAGAGCGCTTGCCTTGCATGCCTGAGGCCCTGGGTTCGATTCCTCAGCACCACATAAGCAAAAAGAAAAAAAAGATGGAAGTGGTGCTGTGGCTCAAGTGGTAGAGCGCTAGCCTTGAGCTGAAGAGCTGAGGGACAGTACCCAGGCCCAGAGTTCAGGCCCCAAGACTGGACCCAAAAAAGAGTCTTAGACTTTACCACCTGAGCTGACTTTGAGCTGCCAATCTCAGATTTCAGCCTCCTAACATGAATCTGAGGTCAGCTTTGGCAGCAGACACCCTGCTTGGGAAACAGAAAAAATCCCAGATTACTGACATGTAAACTAATGCTCACCCAAAGTGATGGTCTGCTTAAGATCTAGAAATGCTAGGCACTGGTGGCTCATACCTGTAATCCTTGTTATTCTGAATGCTGAGATCTGAGGATGGAGGTTAGAAGCCAGCCCAGGGAAGGAAAGTCCATAAGACTCTATCTCCAAGTGAAGTAAGCTGGGGGCAGTGCACAGGGCCTGAGTTCAAGCCTCAAGGCCACTCACACTCGAAAACTGGCCTTGTGGACCCTTCAGTGCTTGAAGCAAGTCCGTTTAGTACATGGCTCTTTGCTATCAGATCAGGTAAGAGAACTCCACAGGTAAATAGTTTTGTGAAGTGTCGAGTATGTGACCAAAGAATGAAGACTTCCCACTGGTCCAGGGATTAAGCTCTTCTTTTCTTTTCTTTTTTTTTTTTGGTGCCAGTCCTGGGGCTTGTTGTACTCAGGGGGTCTGGGCACTGTCCCCAAGCTTCTTTTGCTTTTTCTGTTTATTTGGTACTGAGGATCAAGACCACAGCTTCAGGCATGCTAGGCAAGCACTCTACCACTGACCCACAAACCTGGTCCGAATGAGCTTTTAAGTAAACCTGTTGCTCCACCCATACCTGACTGAGTTCCTCCCTGCCCTAGAATTCCTGCCCTATAGCTGGCCACTTCCTCTCTCCGCCCAGACCCTCCTGAGCACCTACCTACTTCACTTCCAGCACCCAGACCCTTCTGCTACCTGGGTAGGGACGGATACC